AAATGACGGCGGCCTTAAAAGTACGTTCGAGACAACTGGATCAAAGTTATGCCTGAATACTCTGAGATGGCCACAATAGCACTGTTGCTATTTCCGACATCCTACCAGTGTGAGACGGGGGGTTTCTGCAGCAACGGCGACGAAAACAAAATTACGAAGTAGACTGGACATAAACCACACACTTGAGGTGTCATTGTCTCCTATTAGCCCGAGATGGGACCGTCTGGTTGCAGAAAATCTAGCTCGGTGCTGTGGTGAGTCGTCATTTTCATGCACTTTGAATTTGCGTTGTATCGTATTTTGAAGGCATTAAACATTGCCATAGCGATCGGAGTGTTGCGGCCAGATTAGACGCTCCCTGTGTTTATTATTATATTTCGAAAACGCCAGTTTTCATGCAGCTCATACCATATTATTTTGTTGTATTATTTCCGCCACACCTTAATTGCCGGTCCCTGAAAATATCGTCTGACATAAACCGGTCCGTGGGGCAAAAAAGGTTGGGGGCCCCTGCTGTAGAAGTTAAGACATTTTGACTTCAACTACTGAAATGAATTTCAATTGGTCGTTGTGGTGGTACAAACCCAATTCTGAGGAATTTGGGAGGTTATCCATCCATCTCCGAATCCATTTATCCTCACAAGGGTTAAGACATTTTGACTTCAACTACTGAAATGAATTTCAATTGGTCGTTGTGGTGGTACAAACCCAATTCTGAGGAATTTGGGAGGTTATCCATCCATCTCCGAATCCATTTATCCTCACAAGGGTCGTGGGAAGTTCTGGAGCCTATCCCGGTTGTCTTCGAGCAGTAGGCGGGGGACACCCTGAACCGGTTGCCAGCCAATCGCAGGGCACACACACAGACAAACAACCATCCGCGCACACACTCACACCTAGGGTCAATTTGGAGTGTTCAATGCATGTTTTTGGAATTTGGGAGGAAATCAGAGCACCCGAGAAAACCCACACAGGTACGGGGAGAACAAGCAAAATCCACACAGGAGTGTCGGAACCAGAATCGAACCCTGCACCTCTGCAATGTGAGTTCAACGCGCTAACCAGTCGACCACCGGTACGCCCTCGGTTGAAGATGATTTGCAGATGGTTCTATTCTGTATTTACATATGTTTAAAACATCCCAACTTCATTGGAATTGGGTATGGACTGTGAGAGACAAGTGTTATTTTTTTGGTGGGTATTAAGAACGGTTGCAGCTGCTTCAGAGGAAGCCAGGAGGCAACAAACTACTAGTTCAATCAGTCTTTTAATTGTGTGATGACAGCAAATAAATTATGTACACCTTAAATGAACAAATGCAACACCGTCTTGGCGTGGATCATGTCCTGCCCATTACTCAAGACAAGTGGTCCACCACGTAAAACCTTCATTTATGAGCAGCAGTCCTGGACTTGTTATAGACCAGGAAGTCCGAGATGTCGTGCCACACATTGCTGTCGTGGTAGAGGTAGTTCATGGACGACTGCAGCGAGGGTTGTAGCGTGTGCGGGTGGTACTCGAAGAGCCACAAGACCAGTCCCCACACCAGAGTGGCGAAAAGCGGGAAGGGGTCTCGTTTAGGCTGTGGGACCACTCCTTTCTCCACCGCCAGCCGCGACAAGGCAAACAGGATCCGGGACAGCAAGTACATGTTGATCTGGAACCACGGCAGACCAGTGGAGGTGATGCGAGATGTCAGCAAATCTCGCAAAATTTCTGATTGCAGATCAGATAAAACACAAATTATGCAAATATGGTTCCTTTTTTGCGTTTATGTGACCCCAGTCAAGTGACTTCAAAGGAAGAGTCCCCCCCCCCCCTATTTTAATTGAATATTCCAGTCAAACGGTCAATAGACAAAATATGAGGGGTTTCACTTGACTTTAGTTTTATTGTTGGGTCAAGTGTGACTAGCTGTTCTTTATTTTAGTTGGATTTGAAAGTCAAGCGTGGCTAGTACACTTTGGCTCATTATTCAATGGAAGGGTGAGTAGTTTTACTTCAGCTTTATTTTCAGTGAAAGGATACATAATTGTAGTTACTTCCTTACTTCTTAAGGAAGAAGTGATTTGACTTTATTTTTATGTTACTATACAGTCAAAGGGTGATTCGTTTTTCTTTGTTATAGTTTAGGGCTGCAACTAACAATTATTTTAACAATAGATTCATCTGTCAATTATTTTGTCAATGAATCAAATAAAAAAAATATTTCAAATTGACAGTGTAGGAATTTGGACAAACAAATAGTGAATCATTTTGACTCAACAGAAAGAATGGGTCTGCTTTCATGGAGGACAACAGTAATTGGACAATATTTACTATTGAGAAGCTGAAATCAGAATCCGAATCAGAATCATCTTTATTGGCCAAGTATGTAGAACACACAAGGAATTTGTCTTCGGTATAACACGCTGCATTAGTATCATCATAAACAAGGACATGACAAATTGGTATGGAAGGACATTTTGTAATGTAAGTGAACCATAGTGCGGTGGGACCACCCAGTGACAATGTGCAAAGTATCAAGCAGAGCTAAAGTGATCAGTGGTAGAATACAATACTATGACAAATTCTGTCCATATGGACAAATTTAATTTAAAACCGTATCTCGACGATTAACCGATTAT